TTAGCTCATATCTCCGTCAAAAAGGTGCATGGGCCCAAACCAACTTGGGGTTTTTCACTGCTGACTATCCCCTACATCATGAAAATAGTCTGAGTCGAAAAGCTTTTAATCACCTCGAGAGGTTCCCCCGTTAGTACTCATTTCTGTTTCCATAATTCTAGACTAGATCTGATGTGAACAGTTGCAGAATCTTACAAATGAAAGCTAGTATATACCTTGTTGTCAAAATCGACAATTAATCACGATCCTGACTGTTATAGTCGAGAGAAATTGAGATATATCAATCTTTAGCCATCAGATGATTAATCATCTTCTGAGAATCCTGATTAATTATCGATCTCAATGAAAACCCATTTGTTTTTTTAAGGATTTTAATGATTGTCTACAGAAGTTTTCACAATTTATGCTTATTTGCTCTCGTCTATTGTTTTATTCATTATACCTATTCTCGCAAAAAAAAGGCAGAGAAGGCTATGGAAAAACTTATAAATCGTCGGTGATTATTCTTGATTACGGTAGTGTAAGTTTTTTAGAGTACGGTAAGAACTATTGGGGCAATGTATTTTCTCTTGGCTGGTTTAGTCTTCTGGGCAGACTTTACCCTCAAAAAATCGGGAAAAAGCCGTTTGATTGGGGCAAAAGAGCAAGATCAGAGGGAAGGTGTTATGTATACCACACCGCACTTATCGCCACGGAGCTATCATTCATGATTAAACGTACGATTCGGCTAATTAATTCGAGATTCTTTGTCGATTTTTCCTATATGAGTAAGTGTTTGAAAGATGAAAATCTGTCGCTAATTATTCAAACCAGTCGAATCTGTTGCTCCTTGAAACGATCGGAAAAGTTCTGCCTCATATCATACAGACAACATTACACATAGATAAAGTCAAAATCAAGACTTAAAAGTGCTTTGAGTCATCCAGGTGCATTTTATTTTCTAATTCCTGTTTCTTTTTATCGACACACAATTTTGAAGAATAAAGAAAGAGAAGTACATGTTCAAGATACAGACAGTATTACGAAAATATACAATTAGTCATTATCTATTTACATTTTGTGGTTATTTTTATTTCAAACTTTTATGTTTTTCTCTCTATTCTATAAAAAGACTTTCTTTAAGATAAAGAAACCCAAAAAAACAGCAGGTTTTCAGCCATTATGGAATGAAATCGAAGTCACAGAAACGCCTTCAGCATGTATTTTGAAGCTGGCGCATCAGAAACAACGTATAAAGCTTCAATATGTGTTAAACATCAACTTGGAAAATGCTTTAACACATTTAGCTCTTATCTTTTGTTCTTGAATAATGAAGAAAAGTTTTGACGTTCAGACTATTGCACATAGCGACAACTTTCACTTTTCCAACGGTGTTCATTGGGTATAGGCGTTTCTCCAATAGCTGTATTAACTACCGTGTGCATTTATATTTATTTATTTACTTTTTTTTATTGGATTGTATATTTTTTGTATAATAATTATATATATATAAGTTTTTTGTCTAACATTGTTAATTTAGACAAAACATGCAATGTTTTTATTTTCTTATAGATAGACTGTCTATTTGAAGTTTTTCTTTATGAGATAACGGCAAGTGTTTGAAAATAAAAAATTTCAAACTTCTAGTATTTCAAAGTACAAAGATGACCGTTGATCCCATTTTAAGGTGACCATCTTTGATGTTAATAGCTTTCAAAATCATCCGTCTCACTGAATTCATATGAATCAATAACGAACCATCGACTTCATTAGAAAGATTGATGCTTCTACAGATCGATCACATGCTCACACTCACATTCCAGACACACGACAGTAGGAGGGCGTGATCGACCTGTAGACAAACTGGAAGATTTACTTGTTTCCTTTATACTGATAATGCGCAACACATTATAAACTTTGCATTCACATTCACTTGTTAATGCCATATCGAAAAAGTACACATGAGATCATAACACAAAATTGTATTTTAGAAGAGTGCATCCTTTTACTCCTTAACTTTTGCTCTATAATGTTAATCTACTCGTCGCTGATGGTTAATAAACAGCTTTCAATTATTTTTAATTCCATTTGCACAACGCCAAAATCTGATTCTTTTCTGTTTTATTTATTTGTTCTTTTCATTTTGCATAGCCGTTATTTATCAATTATTTTAAATATTAGATGTTGTAGATTTTCTATCTTCAGTTAAAATAAACAGTACATGTCATAAGTCAAAAATCTGATAATTGTTGACGCTAGCCTTAGCGAGTTTTGATTTCGCAAACATCAGCACGTGGACAAACAATTCGAAAATAAATTTTCTATTAGAATATGTATTTGAATGGGTTTTTTTGAACTTTGTTTGGAAAATGGCACAGATGCATACAACAGTTAGCCATAACTGTTGCTTTTCTAGTTCATTTGTATAGTGAACATGAAGAAGTTAGCGGAAGTAGATTATTTAATATGGTAGAGGTTTAAAATGTATGTGAAGGATCACTGAAATTGATCTATTTTGAACTAATTATATATGTTTATTTTTGATTTTTTCGTTTCAGATTCTTACTAGTTGATACTAATGATCAATAGAATTTAAAATTGAAGAAATAACTAACATCTGCATGGACAGTGATGAGAGGTAAATGCAAGCAGATGATGTTTGTTTTTGTTTACTTTTATGACATTTAATTTAGAATTTTGAATTCCGTATTAGATTTCGATTTACCTACAGGTTCGCAATAAATCTCAATGACAAGTATTTGTTATTTATTTTATATGTTTTTTATTTACTAGGACTTGTACAAAGAAATGTAATTTTACAACGTGATCGTTATGGTTATGGACTTACAGTATCGGGTGACAATCCTGTATATGTTCTTAGTATAAGAGATGGTAAATACGATACTGTAATTCTGTAATAAACAAAAGAAAAACCGTCCATTTTTTACATAATTGCATAAAACGATTGGTAAAAAAAGAAAATAGAGAGAGTAACCATTGTTCTAGAAAACATTCGTATTTATATATGAGATATCGTTGACTGATGATGTTGCCGAACTTATTATGAAAGTATTACATTTACACAATACGTATTTCTAAATAACTATCTTTTATATTCATTTCTTATTCAATGTTTGATGAGGACGATTAATTCATTCTGACTTGTAAGATAGAGACATACTCTAAAAATGAGATAAAGGATCAGGAGTTCGGCGTTTATTTATTTTTTTCAACGCTAAGTGATACTTTATTTCAATAATTTGTCTATATTTATAGGTGGAGCAGCTCAAAAGGCCGGCGTTCAAACGAATGATCAGATAATCAAAGTATGTGTGTGTTTATATATTCACTTCTTATATTGCTGCGTGTATTTTGTATTAAAGCGGTTCTTATCGCTATAAAAACATCGAAATTTGATGTTAACCAAAAATAGAATTTTACATTGATTATGCACTAAGTATAAATTTTTTAATAATGAGTAATTTACACTACACTAACAACATAACCACAATTTATATCTATAATAGAGTAACACTGCTGATTATCTCTAATGTTTTATAAAGTTACTGTTTTCTCGAATAGTCTATTACAATGACCTATTTGATAGAACAGAAGTGTTTCAAAAATAAATTAGTATTTGAGTGTATTGTGCATTCTCCATGTCGCAGTACAAAAGTTTCATTTTTTTATTCATTCTTATAGTGGTAATTGGCAATTTTAAGAAAAAATGTAAAAAAACTCAATTTATTCTTAAAACTTCGGTTAACAGATGGAAAAAAAAGAGTGAATTAAATTCTATAATAAATTTGTGTTTGTCTCTGTTGAAACTGTTGTTTAGCTAATATTTCTAATGTTGTTTTATAGCGGAGTGTGATGTGTTCAGGATAATATTTTATTTCCGATATAAATCGTTCTTTTCGTTGTTTGGGAAATATGTATAATGTTGTTGAATAAAAATCAAATTTAAAACGATGATCATATTGTAAACCGTGAAATAGTTTCATTGTTTGATCATTCATTGTTAATTGTCCATAATCATTCAGTTTAATATAAACTCCTTGATTCAATTTCATATATGTACGTAAACGTTTTTCTGTATGATCATCAACATAACTATAAAATGTTCTTTCGCATGATAATGGAATTGGAATAATTTCAACTGTTTCTTGAACATGAGTTTTGGGTTGTTCATTCTCATCATTAAAATTCATATGACACATAGATTCATTTTTATTTTCATGAACAAAATCTCGTAGACGTTCCGCTTCTATATCAACTGTACGTAGATCTACTATAATAGGTATAGAGAATGAATGTTGTCGATCAACGAATGGAATTCGTGGTGTAGGTAGGACGAGTGGTGTATCTGTTATATATTGTAATGTTGGAAATGTTGAAGGAATTGTATCTGATCGAGTTGGATTCAATGGTACACACGATTCTAGTGTATTTAAAATACTATAGGATATTGGTTTAGTTGGTTGTAATATTTTCTTATCAAAAACGGTCATATCTAGATCTTGTATTAGATTTAGTCATGTGAAACTAACTTAGAAGGAAAAATGACCAATTGATGATAACAAAAATCATTTGGCATAGGAGTCTATAAATAAAGAAGACAAAGATATAACGTTAGGATTTTTTTAAATACAAATTGAGCCAACATGATTCGTAATTTCTTTATTTCTAACCGTACAATTGAATTCATCATTAAAGAAGACTAGATAGAACTGACAAAAGATTCTGGTATTAAACGTCTAAACCATATTTATTGATGATTAAATCAGTTTAATAAATAAACAAATATAAATTAAAGAAATGTGTCTAGAACAATTACGAACTAATTTTAAAATTTTTATAGAAGTTAAATTATAAAAATATGATTGACCTTTAATAAATACCGTACAATATGTGCTAGTAGAACAAATTTTTTTTACAAAACGTTAGATAACTTTGATCAATTTAAGGAATTATCCGTCTTATTTTCAAATCTCTTTTCATGATTTGTTATTAAAATACCTGTTTATATATTTTACAAAGCAAGCAAAAATAATGAAACTGATTTATTTAGAAAAGTACCTTTGAGTTGGATATTCTCTAGTATATCTCTATCTGATACTTTCTTACTAAATAGTTCGCTTTCATCTACTCGATTTGGTTGATTATATTTGTATCGCAAACACGAGCAGTATACAATAGTTATCTAACGTTTATTAAATGAATTTATTACTATGTAATAATACTTTTTTGTATGATGAAAATTTTTTTATCAAAATCCTTTTTCATTAGAAACTGTTTTTAAATATCAGATTATAGTAGAAAGAGTAAAAAATGAACATACATGTATGAGATATATCATTATCGTTTTTAGTTTGTTGAACATAGACTTGTCGAACACATTTATTTCTGTTCAAAATTTGATTTTGAGTTTTTACAAACTAAAGTTTCTTTGAAAAAAAAAAACGCGACTACTCAATAAATATGAACTTATTCAAGTGATCTGCTTTAGATTTCTTTACTCTATATAAAAACATTTGTATTATAACACGACGTTAGTTGCCAGACACATTTGTTGTTTACGTATACGTTCATCCTTTTAACGAACTCTCGACTTACCACAAACATCTTCGTTATTGTTGATATGGGTATCATTTTAATGTTACCAGATAACAATTTATAATTTGTACGATTCGCATGAAACCTGAAAAGTTTTATTTCTTTTTTTTTTCTTTTTTATGTAAAATTATAAAAACAAAAAAAAAAAAAAAGAGTACTGTGATGTTACCGTGATAGTAGGTCTTACACTTCTATTTTGTTTTTTTTCTTTCATTTCTTCTTCATTATTCCATTTCATTTAGGAAAGAAGAAGTATAGAACTGTTACGTTTATTTGAGGTTAAGGTGGTTGTCTCTTAGAAAATGAAGAAAGAAAGAAAGAGAAAGCCACTAAATACTGACCTTTTTCACTACTCTATTATCGTTAGTTTCCATTTTAAGATTCACTAGAACAATTGAGATCGTAAATACACTTGTATCCTTTGCACATCTCATGGTGATCGACACATCTTCCAATATTAATCGTTATTTTTTAAAATATAGAACCTCTTTTTTGTATATCTATATATATTATGTAGGATTTAATCATGCTACGTACAGATTGAGGATATAGTACCTAAACTTCGAATCTGACCAGAAAGTTTCTGATAAAAAATATTAAATTGACAATATCTTCTCGCAAATTTTATATTTACGAGCACTCCTCTCTTTTTTTCATTTTATTGAAAAAAGTCGATCGAGTCGAAATTTTTATCAGAGATACTTCAGACTCTCAGATACGAGTTTTTTTGAAAAATATGTTTTCCTTCTTGAAATATTCAAAAAATGCTGAAAACTCTATGTGAAAAAGTGAGGCATTGATTGACATGATGAGAAATAGATGATTTTGAGAACTAACTATTTTTCTTTTATGTAAACTGTTCTTTATACACATCGTGTAAATCCAACTAACAATATTCGTAGTTTTTGTTTTTATTCAAACCTGAAAGAATTTGATGTTCAACTCGCTTTGTAAAAGTTAGTTTTGGAACGAGAAAAAGGGGGCAGCGTGACTCAGTCGGCTAGTGGGTAGACAAAGTACCGAGTTCGAATTTCAGCAAAAGTTGTCATGGGATAGTCTTGAACCAGCTATTTTATGCTCATTGTCTCGGTACCTTTGAACATAGATACAATAGGTACACCCGATTTTAGTGACCATTGGACTGGAGAGATGAGAATTCAAGTTTAAAAAAAATTTAAAAAAAAAACGAGAAAAAGACGAAAGTTCTAGAGAAAAAGTGGAATGAGAAAATTGATAAAAATAGTCCGAAGCGCTTAGAACAAAAATAACAATAGCACATAAATAATTTTATTATAATAGGTTTAGTTTTATGCACTGTATCAAAATCAATTGGAATATATGTCTAGTTTGATAAATGTAAATCTCTCTCTTTCTTATCATTTGCAGTTTAAAATCTGCTATCTATTTTTATTTCTTAATTTTTCATTTTAACGAGAATAAAAGAAAGAGAATAACAATCATTTGTCATTCGACTTTACGTGATAATTGTCTTCTATCTGAGTGAATCTTTTTTTTTGTTTTTCAAATTTCAAATCCATACAATTTTTGTATTTGTTTTTTCAAAAAAAGAAGATGAAAAAACCAATGAAAACATGATGTATTTTTCTTCTATGAAGAATTATCTCATACGAACTTGTTATCACTAAAGTTGGCCGCCATATTTGACTATCTAAAATCATAATTATCATCTATAAAAAGTCAAAACTGAACTACTAAAAAAGTTTTTTTTGCATCATTTTTGTTATTTACTGTTTGTTAAGTGTATAATAAAAGTTAAACTGTTTTGTATCAATATGTACAAAATTTCCATTTTTTTAACAGAATTTTTGATTTTATTTGATATTTATTTTTTCTACAAGTGGACAACTCGTAAAAATTATAATTATTCTATTGACCTTTTATTAATATAAAAATGAATATAATAATTTCAATTTAGTAAAAATATGCATAAGATGTATACATTTTTTTACATCACAAAAGCATAAAGGAGAACACAGAAATCCTATTTTTCTAATGCTAATATTTAGAAAAAGTCCGAATAAATCAGTTAGCCGACTGCCAACGAAGGCAAAAACTTTTGGTAAATTTTTCAATAATCAATTGATAAATCTTTGTCCGGGATCTCATCTAGTAATAACAACCCATATTTTTGATCAGATATGTATCTTTATGTGTTTAAGATGCGAAATAATGGTTTATTACAGAAGTCGTTTATATAAATGGTATGTGTGATAATATGAAAAAACTTTTTTTACAATTTATTGACCTTGACAAAATGGTATTTTCTATATTTCTCTATGTACTATTTTATATACAAGTATAGACATAGTCTAAATTGACATTTGTTATATAAAGACATTTTCCTCTCTTTTCTTTCTCTCATCCTTTAACAAAAAAAAAGAGAAAAGAAGTATGCCAACAGAAAGATGTATTAGTTAATGCGGTTCAGTTTATCTTTAATTTTAAATGGCATCACATTTTTTGTTAGAAACAAAAATCGTTTTGGTTCAATTCTATTACTACTGAATATGTATGGAACGATAGAACAAAGAACACAAATGGTGTTTTAAGTTACCTGTTTTATTTTAGTAATAAAACAAAACAAATTTGTTATCTCTTATTCTTACGTGAACATATTTTTTATGATCTAATAAATGTGTTATCAAGTGTTCAACCATGTACATGTACAAAATCTATACTGACTAATAAAAGAGTAAGACTAACAGAACTATTGGATAGAATCATGAATCAATAATAACTTTTTAGCAATGATTGAACAATGTCAGATAGCGAATGATCAAGCTTTATCCTATCAAATTATTGTATTACATTTCATAGATCTATTTTTGCTTGTTTCAACATATCCTATTTTAGATTAGTCTAATTTAAATTTCAAACTGGAAACAATATGATTTCTCTTTTCATTGTTTTACTATTATGTACAAACTCTTTGTACAAGTAGAGAGATAAGTTTTTGTAAACATTTTTTTTCAAGTATATAAACCGATAACATCATAAACTATTCGCATTGTATACTATATAAATTTTTAATCTTTCTGCTGCAAATGATATACAAATACGAGTCATATTTTTCATTGAACGATTTTGATATACATGAATCGCGTTTTGGAATACGAGTCAAAACATTCATTTCTCTCTGTTAATCTTATTGTTTTTCTCTATTATTTTTTCTTCTTGTCGTAAATAATAACAGATACGAACATCTTCGTTGTAGAAAATATAGGAGATTTGATTATATAATTAAAGGAGAAAACAAAGAAGTGATTGTCTTGTTCAGGACTGAAATAATTAGAACTTTTGTGAGAAAATATTTCGAACAAAAAACAGCAACTCTTTGTATATTTATATAAAATTTTCGAAAAACCAAATGATAACCAGTACTGCGTGTAATTAGACTCCTGACGGACAGCCACAAATCTCATCCCGTCTGTTCAGGATAAAAGAATTTTCGAGCTTGAGCTCATGGGCTTGGGACAAATTATATTTTTCTGGATTCGGGCTTACGGGCTCCGGACAAAAGAAAAAAATCACGTCCCTTATCTAAATCCAGCAGATGTATTATTAATCGGTTTAAACATACGAGGTGAACGGTATGGGGAAGCCCGTGGTTCTCTTTTCGGGACAAAATAATTTTTTCGTGGGATCGGGCTCACGGGCTCGGGCTAAACAAAAATTTTACGGGCTTGGGGCAACAAAAAAGTTTGCCCCGCAGACGTCTACGTGTAATACTTTTGTTTTCTTAGATACATATACTAGTATTACCAAAGTTATGCTATAGATTTAATCGAGAAATTTTTAGTTATTCTACATTTGTCTTACGAAGCTTTTATGTAAAATTAAGTAAACTCAACAATGAAAAATTTAACATAGACCA